AATAATTTTTGTACACACATACACACATGTTTGTTTCTTTACATATGCAAACACATATGTGTGTATATAATCACTTTGCAAACTTTATAATCTTAAATAAATACTAGCTATAAATATTATTTTGTTATTCAACACATACAACTCAGTACCACCAGTACTTATTTATCCCTTCACATCCACTGGCATGGTTGCCAAAACTCATTTATTCCCCTTCTCACAACTTTATAACAGTACTTCCTTAAAGATGCCTCTCCCACCTAGCCCAGGCCCACTCAAACTATTGCCATTCAACCCTGCTTCCATGTCTTTTTTTTTCCTTCCTAGACATTCTCCTTCAGTCCTCTGAGCTCCTTTCCTCTAAACTTATCCCCTACTTCATTCTTAATTATTTTTGTGTTACCTGATACCTGTGTCCCACCCCTTTCTGGTACTGAAACCTAATGAACCTGAGAAGCAGTAACATAATATAGGTAGGACAAGATACGGAGACCAAGGAAGCCCATCAAACCATGTATACAGTATTAAAGATATCATAATGTTGCAAAAACATTGGAATTTTATCAGCTCTGTCCAGGGAGGGAAGGAGGGAGGGAAGGAGGGAAGAGTTCTCTTTTTCATATTTTGTCACAAAAAAAATGTTTTTTTGTGTCTCAGTTTATACTTGACACAAACACTCCCCAGCATTGAACAGCTTTATCGATTATGTCCAGTGTTGGCACAGGGATAGACTGAATACATATAAGAAATACATGGAATGTGTCTTGTGTATAATCTGGAAAAGATTTGTTAGAGTTTCTTTCGTCTTTTGTAGTGTCTATGTTTTTGTATTGAGTGGATACTATCTATATTGCATGGATATCATTAAACCAGAAGAGTAGAAAGGGTTTATTTTATTTCCCGTTTCATGAGACAGTGCTCCCTTTCTGTCTTTCTCTGCCTCTGTCACTGTCTCTCTCTGTGTTCTATTTCTTCTCTCCCTCTCCTTTCCTTATCTTTCTCACTTCTTCCAGGTTTAATAAATACAAACAAGGAGATATCAAATGGATGGACAAACCATTTTGAAGTTTAAAAAAGAAAACTTATCATAGGCAAAGTGGTGAGATGTTATTACCACCCCCTATCTTTAGAATCCTATGTAAGGCTTATCTTTTTCCCCACTTTGTTTTCATCCATTAAACTTCTGCAAACCCAGACCCTTCACGATTTCCCAAATCAGTTCTACCCCACCATGAGTTTGCATTGTGGTATATTTAAAGGACTTTGTTATCATCTCCCTAAGATTAGATTATCATATTATTCATGTATTCCAAAAGGAGAGAACTTGTACAGCTCCCATGTACAGATCTGACTGTTCTTCTTTCCTTCTTTGCTCAAACCTTATAGTGTTCATTAATGTCAGGTGGGTTGAGAGAGCATGAGGCCATTAAGCTATGATCTCCATGTAGGCATAGAAAAGATATCTGTGAAAGCTTTTCATTTGTAAGGTCAAAGGGGTGCTGTATCCCAGGGTGGTGGGAGAGAATAAGCTACTGTCAAGTATCGTGCTTTTTGGCCCCAACACTAATTATTACAGACAAAGCATGTGGACATACACACATGCACACACATGCAAAAGTAGACATGTTCACGCACACACACTCCCCACCCTTACTCTAGGAGTCTTGTATAACTCCAGTAAAGTTTTATAAATTCATGCCTGGGCTAAAATTAAAATCCAGACTGAGATTACTGAGGCAAAGATGGTTGCTATATGAAAGAAAGGGAATGAGTCCATGAGGCTGGGCAGATGTAGAAAAATAATGAGATGTGTGAATTATCTTTAGCACCTATCCCTCTTCTCCCTAGCTAAAGCCCATTGGAATGGAAAAGAGGAAGGCTTATGTTTCACCTATAGTGAGCAATCATTGTTGGTTCATTAGGTTCATGCCCCTATCCTTATTTGGATCTGGGCCTTCCTTCTATAAAGAATGCTCTTATTAAAAACGATATCTTCTTCCCCAGTCTCAAATTGGTTGTTTATCAGAATTACCAGGGAACTCCTCATGAACAGGAGCCCAAATTAAAGTCTAAGCTAAGACAATTAAATGGTATGAGTTGGAAGGTTCATTGAGTGTTAGAGCTAAAAGTGACTATAGAAAATAGTAATCTAACCCCTTACTTCACAGATAGAAAAAAAATGCATGTCAGAGATGACACGTGCAATGGCACTGGCTGGTTGGTTTTTTATTACTTTTGAGATATGTGGATTTCATGGTAGAGCAGAGTGCCTACATTAATGAGAATAGATCCTTCAGACTGTCAGAGAATAATGCTGTATTATCTCAGGGTAGGTATGAGGGGGAAAACAGCACAGAGAAAGTTAGGAAAATTAAAATGAGGGGGGAAAGGAAACAAGGAAAAGAAGAGAGAGAAGAGGCAGAGATAGGAAAAGCTTTATTTGTACTCCGGGGACACTCAAGAAAGACAAATGAGCTTTCCTAAGATTTGTGTTTTTCCTTCATGGATATTTAATTGCCTCACATTCACTTTGAGGTGCATCTCTGTGCCTAACACATAGGACAACAATCCTTGGTGTGTCAACCTGCCCCCTTTTAAGGTTATATTTGGTGTTTTGTTCCCTTGTATGCTATGAAGAAGAAATGGAGGGTATCTATAAGCCTGAAGCAAAAGGAAAACAAGCCAAGGACTGATTTGAGTCCTCAAGGTTATTCTCTTTTGGTGCTTTCATAATATTGATTGCTGAGAATAAGAAAGGGATCCCATGCAGTGCCTGTGGAGCACCATTAGCTGCTAAGCATGTGTATGTGTATATGTGTGTGTGTGGGAGGGGCATCAACAGTCTTTCCTCTATGCCTCTTGTGCTGAATCAGTGTTGATTTTTTTCCCCTAAAGCCCTGTGGGATTAGGTTGGTTTCTTTCAACCTGAAATTATTCTGCAAATCCAAGGGCTGTTCTTAGCCACCTGTTGGGATAAATACTCTGTCTTGACCAGCTTCAGTCATAGTCACCAATGCATACATCTACAAAAGGATGAATGTGATGGTAGACACTGAGAATGTGTTTGTACTGTTGAAACATAGAGGGCAGGAAACTCATCATATGAGCTATATTTATGTAAATCTTGACCCTCCTAGACAGTACTATTTCCAAAAGCCATCTTCACTTTGTCCACACTCTTATTTGAATAAATCCATCAGATTTGAGAAAGTTGCTATGTGAGCTTCTGCAAACATAATGTCATGCTGGTGACAGCATGGTCCCAGCTGCATCTCATCACCAGCACAGCTGGAGAAATTCCCACATGTTTCTGACCAGGCATTCACCAGGGATGGCATTTGGTTGGTCAAGAATCAATAACAATTGCATCCCACTTCACAAAAGCAGTTTCAGTAGCCTGCATTGTAGATTCCTATGCTGTTCAATGCCCTTTCAAGTAGTTTATCCCCATATTTGTTATCTATTTGGTTCCTAGCATAATTTCAAAGCAAAGTAAAGAATGAAAGTAACCCAATGCTATTTTTTTCCTTTGTAGTCATATCAGAGTGATTTAGGTTGTGTATTCATAATGCTTCATTTCTCAGGAGTGGAAGATCTAGAAAACACTCATGGAAAATTGGCTGTGATCACCCATTCTTCATTTTTGATGTTTGAGACTCTTTCTATTTCTCTTAAATTTGTTCTCTTTTTCCCTCCAATAACAGTGGAGAAAAACTGAAATTATTCTTTTGTTTGGTTATAGTGGAATGCATACTCTATTCCTACAAAATCCTTGAGATTACAAGTTCATTCAATCCATCCAACTGTCTAGAGGTAGAATGACAACAAATCACACCCAAACCAGTATGTAGCTTATTTAAATTTTCAAGCGGGAAAGTCCACATTTTTTTCCCTTAATATGATGTTACTGGGTCTCAGATTAATGAGGTGAAAAAAAAAGCTTTCCTTTTCTTCTGTCCTAAATCTTGTACTAGTACAGGTTTAGCTTAGTTTCCTTCATCTTGTCACCAGTGGCAATGGGTACCCTTCCCCAGTGCTTCAGCAAAAACACTATGTATTAGATGGCTTAGTTACTGAGATGAAAAGAAAACACAACATTAAAATGTGGTTTTGACCAGTGAGTCGAGTTTGTAATGTAGATGTCATATGTTCTTTTTCTGTTTATTCTTCACATGAACACTTTGGCTCTTTTACGTTGAACTTGTTCAGGATGTTGTTTACTTGGGAAAGTTTCTCAGAACTATCATATTCCTATTGTCAGTCCCATTTGCTATAATCTTTTATTTTTCCATAATTCCTCCTTCTTTTATTAAAATGCATTCTGAACTCTGTGTGGAAGGGCAAGGCACTTAACCTGGCCATGCCCTGGGCAAATTTCTAAGACTATAGGGTAAGCTGCAGATGAGTAGTCAATCTACATTGGTGTGTAGTGGGAGGTTTCATAGGACTGCCTCTATATCCTATACATACATACACATACACACACACTCACACACACACACATATATACATGTTTTATATATATATATATATATATATATATATATATATATATATATATATATATATATATATATATATATATATGCATATACACATATACATGTATAATATTTGTTCATGTGCATGTGTGTATATATACATATGCAATATATGTATATGTATACATGTACACATTATATTAGTTTCAACCACAAAATTTCATAAACCAATAGATTCATATAATTTATCATATTTGTGTGTATGTGTGTGTATAAAATATTTCTTATGTTAGATATCCTTAAGATTCCCCCAAACTCTTGCCTACTTATCACACACACTCTCTTGAATAACTTCCATTTCTTTATGCCCATCCAGCTAGTTTCTAAAACAGAAAGAAATAAATTTCAGTGACACTTACCATTGATCTAAAATTCTTGAAAAGCATCATACAATGTTGAAGCATAAGCCTGATATGTGTCTTGGAAATGTAAGTTTGTACATATATTCATATATATGACAACTGAATGTTACCAAATGATTTATTATGATTAGTGGTAAATTACAATGTATATGAAATGGAATTGTAAATGGAAGGACACAAAAATAGTTACCAATTTCTGTAATTATATTCACAAGATATTCTGTAATATATTTCAGTTAGAAGAGACAGTTTCTGGTCTGTCCTTTAGAATATATCCACAAATGCATTTTGTAGTTTCAACCACACAATTTCACAATACTGATACCATATCTGTATCATTTACCATACTATAATAACTAAACAGGATATGGAAGTTGTTAATAATAGCAAATGAGTCTCCTCATGATCTATCAGCAATTCTAAACAAAGTAGTAGGTTTTTTTTTCCATTGGAAGTGAGGGTGGGATGGAATGGTAATAACTGGAATTGTAGATATTATATACATAATTATGTATATATTTATATACCGCCTAGAGCCACCAGTTCAGTAAAAGGCAGGCTGCTTTCTAGTTGGACAAATGATCACCCACCCCTTGTGCAATTCCATTGGGATAAAGGGCATTATTATTTTTTTATCACACTTTTCTCTCAGGAAAAAATAGGAAGGAAGGAAATGTACATCAGGCTAAAAACTACAGTGTTACATACCACAGTGAAAACAGTTACTGAGTAATTAGAGTCACAGCAGTTGTGTATATTTGTTATTCACAGACTGAAGACAATTGCCAAATGACCGCTCCACTTCTGAGGACTGACAACATGAAGACATGCATTTGTGTGAGTCCATAATTGTTGATATCTATACTGCAATAAGCACATCTGATTTTAATGCCTTCCAGGAAAACCGATTCCTTTGATGGTTTGCATTAGAAATGCCTCCACAACTACACACAAGAGAACCTGTAAACAATTTGACATTACACTTATGTACAACTGAGCAACACTGGGAAAGGAGAAGAGGTAATTCAGTGGGTGTCACTTGGTATATATCAATGTGCAACAATTTGACCCAGCCTTGGCTAAGTCATCCAGTGCTTGAATGAGGTCAGAGAAAGTAACATGAGCAAGGCCTCCCTGGAGATCACCACTCAATGAAACTATCAATGAAATTCAGAATCTTGTGCCAATGGTGAAAATAGCACAACAGCCTAAGAATCAGTGACTGATAGACAATAGGTTCATTAATCCTGGGCAAACTGCATCGGGGTATCTCTAGATTATTTAATTAATAGGGTCTTTGTCTTTAAAAATAGATTAGGAACTATTACTTGTGTGTATTATATTTGAACATGAGTTGATGTATGTCGCACATAAGTATATATGTATATATACATATATATTCATGTTTATTAAGCAAACTACAATGACTGGAGAAAGAATGCATTTCCTCTCAGCATAGAGGTGGCGGACTAATGGTGAGGAATGAGGTATATGGGTTGTCAGACATTGAAAATGTGTTGCTTCCTTCTGCCTAATTGTATTCATTACACAGAAGGTTCTCTTGGGGGTGAGAAGTAAAGGGGAGTCAATGGAAATGATGATGATCTTTAAAGACCATCATGGAAAAGTTATGTTAAAACTGAAAAAAAAGTAATCCAAGTGCTTTGTTGATTATGGCACGGTAGAGGGAAAGCCATTTGACCAAGAACAAAAGCTCAAACTTCATAGAACTCTTATTTTGTTTTGTTTTCTGACTTTTGAATTATTCCATCAAGCATTGAGATTTGTGGCCCCTGAAAACCAAACTATTATAAAAACAAAACAGAGGCCAATCAGCAGCATCAAAGTAATTCCAGGTGACCTATTTAAAGTAGGCTCCACTAAGTGGCATGGGCTTTAAAATGGGGTCTTTGGAAATGAGTCACCTTCAAGTTATTTTTTTAGGAGAATGATGACAAATTTGCCATTTTAATGAATAAATAATGCAATATAGGCTCTTGTCATTCATCTACTCTGATTCTATATGCACTTAAACTAAACAGGCATAAAAAAAAATACTCATTTATGTGAAGTATTGAAGGATGATTTCCTGGGGATAAGATAACAACTCTGAGTTATTTTTTTCTTTTGTGTGTGTGTGTGTGTTTTCCTTAGCTCAATTATCCTCTAAGAAGAACCTACCTGAATCTATTTTTTTTCCTTGGGGGGGAGGGAAAGATGAATAGAGAAAATGGGTTATGAGACAATTGAAGGGAAGTGAGAAGTTTATATTTGGTGCCAAATTTTTGAAAAATCAAAAACTGTTTCCCCAAAATGTCCTTCACTTTGATTAGAACATTTTGTGGTTACAAAAACCAGTTATCCTATAATTCTAAGGTCAATTTTCCCCCAGAGGGGCTGGGGCAGGGATGGGGGAGACTTGCAATAGCTATAACCATTTGTAATTTTTTTTTCTTTCTGGTTCATGGTACAACCTGATAATAATACGGAAGGTACAAGCCCATGAAAAGGCAGTCAGCTGAACTTTGTGCTTGTCTGAGGTTCTCTGTGTGGGCTTGTATTTAAATTCACCTCAAGGAATACCTGAAAGAGGACACTTTGTTTGCATAGGGTTTCCTTATAAATTAAGCTTCTCACACTCCAATGGTACGTCAAGCAAAGTGCACTGGTGAAACCATATATATCGCCATCATGACAAGATAAGTGGTCAAAAAGTAAAAATAAACTGGTTGTTTTGTCAAAAACAACCAAGTATTTTTGGAAATTAACTGAATTCTTAGCTGCTTTGGCCAGCTCTTTTGGTATTTTGTAGACAGGGATATTCTTAGGGGTCAAATAAAGTGTTTCTGAGTTGTTATTATAAGGCGCCCTTGTGCTTCTATATGTATATGTATATGTGTACATGCATATATGCACATATAATGTATATTTATTTATTTACAATTATGAGTTTCTTTACAATAGCAATTCTTGAGTGGACAAAGGGGATAGGAAATAAGGACCTGTGATTTAATCATTAGTGTAAGGCTTTCTCAGTGTGAAAATTCCTTCTACCATCTTATCTATTACTTTCAGTCTTAGAGAGCTGCCTGGGTTACTGGGGTGCTAAATGACTTGATAGGGTTCCATGACTAGTAAGCGTTAGAGACAGAACTTGAACTAAGGCCTTTCCAACTCTAATGCAAGTCTTATATCTACTATTTTAAAATCATAAAGATGAAAATTTCTATATCCACATAAATCACCCAAAGTGTTGACAGCTGTGGGAAATAAAGATAAAATGACAATGAAAAGTCACCCAATGACTAGTTGGGGTAGCATCAGGGAGAATATAGTAACCAATGTATACTCCTGAACAAAATTTTAAGATCACTTTCACAATTTAATATTGTCCCAATTAAATGGGGTCTTCTGCAGTCACCACCATCCTTGTAAATGAGTACTACAAAGTAAACACAAGTAGCTCTTTTACCTGGCTCTTATAACACTTTGGGTTCTTCTTTAATCACTATTAGGTTTATACTCATAAATATTATAAAAACAAAAGTGTGCACTGGTGGTGGAAAACATGTGACCCCCTCCTCAAGCCTCCAACCAGCTTCAGGCCATGTGTTTGCTTTGTGCACCATCTTTTAAAGGGGGTTTTTCCTAATCCTCTTGATTGTTACTTCTTTTCCTCTCCTCAGATTATAATGTATCTATTTATCTATTTACGTGTATCCCTTCCCTCCCTGTGCCCCCACAAACATAAACTCCATAAGGCTTTTATTTTCTTCCTTTGCACTCACAACACCCAAAACAGTATCTTGCATATAAAAGGCATTTAATAAATCTTGTTGGGTTGGGTTGGAAACATCACCATGCAGATTCAGTTTTTTTTTTCAAAAGAAAATTATATAGGAATTACTGAAATCATTGTTTGGCTCCTCAAAATACATAAAGTTTGATGAAGCAATGTTGTTGAGGAAGGGGGTACTTAATTCCCTAAGAACACTGTCTGTTCACACATAACAAGCAGTGTTGAGGCAACAATAGATTGATGCCCAGAAGAGTTTATGCCAATGGGGCTCAAAGGCTTGCTCAGACTTGCTGAATAATGTTATAGCAGGATTTTACAAGGTTATCATAGTTTTAGTTATCATGGTATTATTGTGAGCAGGCATTTTTTAGGGCAGTGTTGATGTAGGGTATGCCTATATTTTAAAAACTGTATTTCTTTTGAGGCTGCATCTGTGTTTTGCAGGAAAAAAACATAATATTGAAATACCAGGTGAAGATAGTAACGAGTATTTATGAGTTGTTATTGCAGGAAGGAAGAGAAGAAGGGAGGGAAGGAAGAAAAAAGGAAGGGAAAGATATGAAGCTTGTCAATTTATTCTTTCATCTGTCCTTTTTTTTTCTTTCCCCATTGGATAACAGAGGTATAAGAAGGAAGCTATTTAGCTTAAAAATTCTGTTAATACAGTGAAGAATTTTGAGCTGGAATCTAAGTACCTAAGTTTTGAATAGATAACTTGTAAAACAAACAATAGAGGTAGGGTTTAAAGTCAATAAGTAAACCTCTTCTTGGGAGTTGCTCTGGTCTTCATAGCACCCAGTGCAGCACGGAAAAGAAAGAATTGATTGAGAGGCAGGTAATCATAGTTCTACGCCTTGCTCCATTTTTGCTTCTATGTAAATATTCAAATAAATTATTAAATCTTTCTAGGCAGTCAGTTTCTTACCTAAAAATCGGGATAATAAGTTTAGCAATTCATTATGTCACAAGTTTGTTGTTAAATGAGATTATGTAAAAGTATTTTTAGGAAATACATGTAATAGGTAAACATGAGTTATTGTCAATTCAAGTTGTACACAGATTGAGGTTGGGCAGCCCAGACCTATTATAACATTGAAATAGCCTCATTTTGAAACAAAAGCAAAATATGTCTATTGTTTGTTGGATGAAGGAAACAATTGTTAAAAAAAGAAAGAAAGAAAAAACAATAGCGGCATCTTTATAACAGTGAAGTTCAACCTAAAGCAACTCCATTTGAGAGCTAGCTATGAAATCTCAATTCTCTGCCCTTTGTTTTTCTTTTTCTCTTTCATGCATTTCTTCCTTATTCCACTGAGCTTTTGAAAGCACTTTGCTGCTGAATCTTCTTTAGCCTGAAAAATATTTTTGAAAGGGTCATGTGAAATGAAAGGGCTTCCTAAGTATTTCTTGTCAAAAAAATATTTCACTTTTGTGCCCCTGTTATGATGTTGGCCACTTGAATGAAATACAATTCTCTTACCCCCTAGTATCCATATTACTTCTGCATCTTCACCCAGAATTCTCCCTATGACAGGTACAGAAACTATGCCTTGGATAATTAGTGGCAATTCACAACTGTACACAGACACACCTACATACACAAACACACAGACATCCACACAGAATAGAAAAAAAGGATTTATTTATTTATTTATTTGGAGAAAGAGTCACTCTATATAGCCTAGGCTGGAAATACACTGGCCACTCACGGGTCAAATCCCACTACTGATCGGTATGTGAACTTTGACTTGCTCTAGATGTAATCCAAGTTGGTTTGCCCCTCCTTAGGCAGTCTGGTTCCCAATCTCAGGGGCTCAAGATATTAGTGCCAGACTTAATGCAGACACTCACTAAATTTTAGCCCCACTAAAGCTCACAAAGCCTGAGCTCAAGTAATCCCTGAGCCTTTGCCTTACCAGTAAGCAAGGATTACAGGTATGTGCTACTGCAACCAGTGAAAAAGGAATTTTCTTGTTGGAGTCTGTGTGAATGGACATTGGTCAATGTTTGATCTGCTATGATTAACAAACCAGCAAAAACCAATTCATAAATGAATAAATAGTGACTTTATCACCTTTGTAATTATTTTTCAAAGCACACAATGCTAATTTGATTGACCTTTAGGCCCACGATTAGACAGAGAATGTGTTTGAATATTCCACACGTATATTCGAATTTCACACATTTCGCATTTTATACCAGGGATCCAACTCAGTCAAGTGCTTATATCCATAATTAGGACATCAGAGCTTTTTTAATCTAGCTAATACTTATCTTTCATAATAGAATGTTGATTCTTTCATTGGTGCTTTCCCCACTGTGACCATTAGCTCATATCTATAATAGATGCCTATCAATAGTACACAAGATGAATCTAGCTCCAGGTGCACACCAACTCTCTCATCTGGTGTCTAGAAACAACTGCTTTCAATTACTTTTCTTTGTACTGACTCCTAATTCATTTTTGATAGGGCTGCTACGAACAGGGAAAGAACCTGGAAATCTGTTGATTTATAAGGCATATAAGCATGTAAATTAGCAAAAGGTCAGCTGGAATATTAAACTGACAAGACAGAGGAGGTAGCTGAAGACAGCAGAGTTACTAAATCCTCTGGCTGGAATTAGGAGTGTTTATGTCAGATTGATTAACAGGAAAATCACCCCTCTGGGACAATCTTGATAGTCACTAGTTCAGGTCATATTTTTCTTTTTCCCTCCTCATTTTTATGAGAGTGGATTACTAAATGAAACAAGGCTGATAGCCTGGGAGTGTGAAATCCTTTAACCAATAAACAAATCAAATCTCAACCAGACCTTTAGGAGCTGCCGATAGCCAGATTAAAGTAGCCCAGAGAAGTTGAGATTTTGCAATTGGCCAGAGAACTGAGGCAGTGTAGGGAATTCAAGGGAGGAAAAGTGTAGACATAGGTGAATTTCCTAGTCAATTCATCTTGATGGAGTGCCCAAATTCACCAGATAATCCTCAATCCTCCACTTCACTCTATGTGGCACAGATATGACTTAAGCAAATATTTCTTGGTCATAATAGTAAGCTCTTACCTTGGCCACCTCCATTCAAGTAAATATCTGGGTGATTGACAATTTCCATCCCTTTGTGTGTTTCAGTATAGGCTTTCCCTACTAACATGTTTAATATATTCCTTATTCCTAGTTTATCCATTTATTCTTTGGCTTTTCCACTGGTGTTTTCCTGAAGCCTTGGATTTATTTTATTGATTGAGGTCTTCAGTCATCTCAAAGCCTCATAGGTCTGCTTGGGTCTAATTGGCTGCCCATCAGAAGTTCATTGGCCCAGAATGTTATTGATTTAACATGACTTAGTTCCTACTATATCATAGACCATTCCACTGTCAGTATGGTGGTTTTTCATTTTGTTCTACTTTTTTTTTTTGATGGAATCACCTTGACTCCACACAACACAATAATTAAATGTCAAAGGCACATTCATGTTCCTTTGAACCAGGGTGAGCAGAGGCCTGAGGAGGCAAAAAAGAAATATGCCATTGTCATTTGGAAAAGTCATAACTTTATTTCTAATTGGGTATCATTAGGCTCTATCTCACTTAGAGATGTTCACCCATCCACCCACAGATGACCCAGTGCATTTTAAACTAATATTCCCCTATCTTTATACAGAAAAGGGGTGTCTGAAAGAGCCTTCAATACTAAACAATGACTAAATTGCAATAAGACAAATAGAAAAGAAAAGTCTACCCACCATCTTTCCATACTTGAGATGCTTTTCTCAAGCTCATTTCATTAAGAAATAAAGAATATTCTGATTCCAAGTTGATTCCTTGAATCACTTAGAATGCTTCAAAGAGGAATATTCTGAACTTTCTATGCTGTGTATATAGCTTTCTAGGAAGGCCACAGTGGAAATAAAAGTCCCCATTTCAATTGGCAGGATGAGAAAACAGATATTTCAAACAAATGAGCTCTCTTGTCGCATCACAAGGCTCTGATTATTAAAGTTTAAGATTCTTTTCTTTCAGCAGGGGTGGAGAGCAATAACCATTTTATCTAAAACTAGGATGATGAAGGCAATATAAATCAAACCCATTCCAGCAGATTTCATTTGGTCTAATTTTTTTTGCAGATATTAATCATAGTACAGTCCTGTGCAAATGACATCTAACTCCATTCCAACTAGGTAGAAAGAGCACTCTGTCTGATTCTCTTTCTCAACTGTGTCATGTGGATAATATAAAAGAAAATAAATAAATTGGAACTCTGGTTTAGCAAGATTTCAAGATGCCAAGAATACTGAGATATTAAAGGAGAGAAACGGTCCCTGTTAAACCTATAATCCAGCATGCAAATTGGCAAAAACATCTATCTGCCATAGAGTCACCAAGAGGAGAAAAAAAAAACTCTTCCTTCATTTTTTCCTCTATGATTTGCTGTTTCCAGTTGAAGTGCCCAAGGATTCTCACATTTCACAGGCAATGGAAAGAACCTTTGACTTCCTAGCAATGACAGACCATGGAAATTTATATTAGCCACATCTATGGAACCCAGTGACAAAGAATGACAGTGTTCTAGATTTTCTCATGTTCTACAGCTATGCTAGATACTGGCTAGGCTTGGAGGCTGGAATCATTTCAATAAATCTCACATTCTGAGTTCCAAATATAAAAATGAGGTTTTACTACTATGATAGGGAGATAGTAAATAGCAATTTTATAAATCATCCTGTATACTCATCTATAATCTTACAGAGCCAGATGTTTTGACACAGATGGATGAAACTCAGACATAAACTCTAAATTCAGGAAAGCAAAAATGATTCTGAAAGAACAGCAATACATAAGAATGATCAGCACGGGGAACCCTCAACTAACATCCATCTTAAACAAACGTATTCAATTGAAAGTGAAAGTTAATAAATCAGCTGTTTATCATTTTGTTGACAAATGTTAAAATGTTTTGATTTTTTTGTTTGTATTTTCTATCCCTGAATTGGCAGGTTGGATTAATGTTGTGCAAACATGACTTAGAAGATAATGTGTTTCAAAAGGGATAAGCAGTATATGAAGGTTTTCAATTAATTCACTCTTATTCCAGTTTAGGTAAGACAAGTTGTGTTTACATTTAGCTTTAAAAAAAATAAAATGGCCTTGTGTTTTTGGAATATTCTTCCTGCTATTTGCAGGAAGGCTGCCCAAAGAAATACAATATTGGGACTTGCATATATGATAATACAAACACCGCAGTGGCCCACAACAGACTTTTTTCAATCTTCCATTTCGCTGGTAAAAGGAGCAGACATTAGTAACACATTAGGAGACATGCAAACTATTTTTCTCATTTGTCTTTGGGAACAAATACCTTGTTTAGGTCCTCTGGGAAACAGTCCTTCTCCCATCCCTGAAACTCCAGTATACTGGGTATGATGAAAGGGTCGATGTTATATTACAATGGGCATTGGGTTTGAATTCAAAGGACTGTGTTTCAACGTTCAATACTACTAGTCATTTCTTTTGTGACTTTGCATAAGTCACTTAGCCAGTCTGGTCTCAGTTTAATTACCTGTAAAATTATATCATTGGAATACTTGATTTCTGAGGCTCCTTCCACCTCTACATCTTTTGATTCCATGACTGACTTAGTGCTTTGGCCATATTTTCACTCCTTTCATCACAATCAGTTTACCCAGAATGACACCAGTAGAGTTATCTCACTGGCTCAGTGTATAGTCTTTGTCAGAACTTTAGGTATCAAGAAATGAAAAGGATCAGAATGACTATATTGATATACAACTCTCTCCATTAAAAACTTAAAGTTCTTTTAAAAAAAATCAGAACTAGATAAGGGGTTGTACATAATACAATGAGCATAGATAGAGCCTTCCAAACTCACACATCATATAGACATTTCCCTAATTTGACTTTTTCCATAAGAAGCTAGCAATATGGCCCTACCCTAGGTTGCTTAGTTGCTCATTGTATGTTTAGCACCCCAAAAGAACAATCCTACCCAGAGGTATGATCACCTATAAACCAGTACTTATACAACTGAAAATCAAACACAGTTTTGTTTCCTTGGACAATTCACATTGGAGTATGGGCACTGTGTAGAGGTGGGGGAAAAAAACTAAAAAATCACCTTACACAAGTACCTTGCACATAGTATGGCCTTAATAAATGTTTATTGAATTGAAGTCTATGGTGTGTGTGTGTGTGTGTGTGTGTGTGTGTGTGTGTGTGTTTCTAACCAGTGGTTTCCTTCCTACCACTGGAGCTAAAAGGAAGATGTGAGCAGACAGATATTATTGCCAACTGATTAGGTAAACAGGATAAAAAGAAACTGTGATTTTATATGAAGTTACATTGCAACATTTAATTTCCTGTTTAAAAGCATGCAGCAGAAGTTAAGGGTTGCCTGCCCTTCCAACTCCCCATCTCATGCCAGTTGTTTGAGGCTTCAAAGTGCATTTTGTTGACAGTTTAATTGGATATGAGGGGAAGGGAGCTCGAATCAATGCACATTTTTGGCCCAGAAGTATTTGACAGCATTGTTGGAGAGGCCTTAAGAATTATTTGATCACAGTGGGCCTTAGGATGGTCTTTCCCATTTGAAGTCTTTTTTGATTCATCAAAATCTGATTCTTCCCTGAATTCTCAGTTATTTAGATGATTATGTTTTAATTTGATGTTCATTGACATTGAAAAAAGCAGTCATTCTGTACAGAATGAGTGAAAAGACTGAATAAAAATAGGTTATACCTATAACTGACCTACTGGTATATATAGTAGAGAAGAACACAGAAAATCTATGAACGGTTCTGTTGACATCTCAGTTCTCAGGGCCTTTAAATAAAACTTTTAATCCTTATTAGAGATGCTAACACATAAAAATTTTGACAATTTATGACTGTTGTGAAATGCAAGTCCTGTGGGACTTCAGACATTCATTTACTAGTGAAACAGAACCTCTTAAACAATTAGCTTTGGGGATGGATGTATGTGTAAACAGAAACAGTTAACACATTAATCATTGTGTTTTGGTCCTGCTAACAACCAGATTCCTTCCTTGACACACACATGCATTTTTTTTCCATTTTTTTAAGTTCTTCACTTGGTCCAAGTTAATGATTGACAATGATGTATCCTTTCCCATTCCCACTGAAATCTATATATTGTGCATAAGAGAAAGAGCAAAAAGTATTCAACACCACAATCCTAAACTTGTCAGAGGTAATATGGCATCCACAGCAAATCAGATAACAAGGACAGCTACCAATAGTTACTTTTCAACTGTGTCTAGACAGAACACAGTGATCTTGATCTCTGACAGCAATCCACTTAATGGAATACAGATATGCAGCACAGTGAACCAAAATCCATTCAGGGATCCCAATTACCTAGTTTAGCTCTCTACATAGGTAACATCACAGGGCCCTTGCTAAGGCTCTCCTTTATGCAGTGCAGGCATAGTCAAAGCATCACAGTTCAAGGGTAAACAAAAGACACCAAAGTGACGTTAATTGTCAGCAATGTAGCACTGTAGTAAAAAAAAAAAACCAAAAAACATGTAATTGTGTTACTAGGATTCAGGAAAAATAAAGCATATAGGAACACTTAGCTTCAATTCCTCTATTATAATCAGCAGTGGTGAAGACCTTCTGAGGGGAGTGCCATACTCAGGTCTTGGTCCCACCCCTAAAGAGGGATTTGGAAATCTGAGAGTAAGTTTAGTATGAAGGCCACAAAGATGTCTGAAGGTTGGGAAAATTAAGTCTATATTCTCCTATCAAAGAGGTTAGGGGTATTTAATAATAGTCTTCAAGTGTATGAAAGGCTCTTACACAAATAATGGTCACCAGCTCTCCTCCCTCCATCCCCCAACATAGAAAATAGTTTCATCCCAGGGTTGAGGTGGGAATTCGTTGGTAAATAAAGAAGGATTAATTACTGATCAGGTTCATTCACCATTAAAATGGTATACCAAGAAAGAATATGAAATATCTTTCTTTGAAAAGCATTTAAAAATTGGATAGATTTTCACTGCTATAGAGTGAAAGGTCCTGACAGGAGTAGGGGATTAGATTAACTGATCTCACAGACATTCCCTGACCTTGAATTCTATGAAGCATGTATATATGTGTGTATATACCTACACACACACATACAAATAAACACGTACAAACAACATAGCCAGTATAAACTGGATAGCAAAGATTTAAGTAAAAAGTCCAAAAAGCCCCTTCCTTTTCCCCATAAACAAAGTTAAGAGCAAAATTAAAAATTTCAAATACGTCATCAGGCAAACCCCTTGTCCTTCATCTTCCCATTCAGTGGCTCTGTCCACTGGGGGAAAAAACAAGGAACCCTTGGCTTGGAATAGATAAACTCCAGGTTCTCTTAGCTGCTGCTGTAATCATGTCTCATGTGTAACATTTTCAGTGCGTGTTCTAAAGCTCACAAACAAATAGCATTTTCATTGTGCTTCCACATCTGGAAAAAAAAATCAATTACCCTGTGACTTTACATGAGAAGGTGAACTAGGCAAATTAGGCAGTACAAGATCAATGAACTGTTGTGGCCTAACACATTCTATTTTTTTCCTTTAAAATATGAATATTCTTGTGTGTGATGTTTATTTGGAAATGATAAAGTGTGTGTTTTTCCCCATCCCCCAGGCTTCTCCTATAGATGGTACTTTCTTAACAGTTCAGATTGCCAAGGGTGTTTCCTTTCTGGGAACCTATCTGGAATTTTGATCTTGAGAAAATCCTGGATGCATTTTTCTAGCTCTTCCTCAATGGAGAGCTTTTCCTTCACAGCTTTTTTTTTGCCCGAGTTAGATTCCCTGGAACCAGTGGTCAGAGTCCGAAGCAAGTCGCTTTTCCGACGCATCTCTGACTGCTGGATCAGCTGCACGGGGCCCTTCTTGATGGGCCTGTCCAGAGTCTGGATGTTAGGCTGGCGGGTCACCGGCCCGCAGATGACAGTCTCCTGTGGGGAGCTGGCTTCTGACTGGCTGTCACAGCTAGAGGTGGAGAGTTCATTGCATGAGGTGCCACTCTCTCCTTCCTTATCACCCTTGCCATTTTTGCAACAGCAGTCACAGTGCGAGGAAGACCACCTGGAAGGTTCACCTGCAAGAAAGCACACAGGACCCAATGGATTAATGGCAGCTCAGATGGTGTAAAGTTCAGTCACGTACATACACAAACATGGGGTAGGGGTAGAGGGAATGACATCTTTGCATGGTACTCGATTCAATGATCAGTAAGAATCTTTCCTCCTTTTTTTTTTTTTGGCAAGGCAATTGGGATTAAGTCACTTGCCCAGGGTCACACAGCTAGTAAGTATCCAGTATCTGAGGCTGGATTTGAACTCAGGTCCTCTTGACTCCAGGGCCGGTGCTCTATCCAGTGGGCCACCTAGCTGCCCCATCAATAAGAATCTAATAAACATTTGTTGCATTGGGTTTAATTGAAACTGAATACTTTCCCTACTACCTGGGAAGTGAAGTGCTCCTGGCATATAGCTGAGAGCCAAGACTTTTGTATTGTTTTCCAAATTCTCTTCATTGCATTACAGTAAACCCATTTAAATCATGCTCCTCTAAGTGGTAAAAGTATAATATATCATGCTAAACCTATTAAAGAAGAGTTAGTCTTATTCCTAAAGCAACAAAGGTTTTCTCCAGCATTAACAATGTACTGGTCCTGAGCCCTGATGGAGAGGGAAACAAAGTTCCTTCCCTTCCCTTAAAGGGCTCCTGTTCTAAACCATAAAGGAAACTTGCAAGGAAATACTCATTTGTTCATACAGACATCTGCTATCTGGGACTTTTTTTCCCAACTTCAATGTGAGGAAAGGAAAAAAAAAATTAAAAAATTAAAAACTCTCTCCTAAGGTAGCTGATGATTTGATTAAAGAAGTCATATGTTGAATTTGACTTGTGCAGGAACAAGTTCGTTCTCTAGCTAGCAATATCATTTTAGGTGGATAGAGCACTGATCCTGGAGTCAGGAAAATTACTGACTCAAATCCATTCTTAGGCATTTCCTAGTTGTTTCACCCTGGGAAAATAATTTAATCTCTATATGCCTCAGTTTCCTTAACTACAAAATGAGAATAATAATAGCACCTTCCTCCCAGGGTTGTTGTAAGGATCAAATGAGATTATAATTGTAAAATACCTCACATACAGTAGGCACTTAATTAATGCTTATTTCATCCCTCTCCTCCACCTCTGAGAGAAAAGAAACATCTGCTAAATTAATAAGGAAGCCAATCCTGACCCATCCCACAGTAAGAAACTAGTGTTATCTGGGAAATGGTTTATGGCATGTGTATGATGGACAATGGTTTCTCTACCGTTTTGTTGTTGCTGTTCAGCTGTGTACAACTCTATGTGACCCTAATTTTTTTTTTGACAAAGATACTGAAGTGGTTTTCCTTCTCCAGCTCATTATACAGATGAAGAAACTGAAGCAAACAGGGTTAATTGACTTGCCCATGGTCACACAGCTAATTAGTATCTAAGACAGAATTTGAACTCAGGTCATCGCGATTTCAAGCCCAGGACTCTATCCACTGTGCCACCTAGCTGCCACAATATTCACACACAGAAACATGCATGTAGTCCTCCTCTTCCTCCTCCTCCTCCTCATCATCATAGCTTACACTCAGGGAACCTTTGATACTTTTCAAAGTGATTCTACAGCATGGCTCTGCCACTTACTATCTTGGCTTTGCTTTCCTCTAGGGTAAAAAGAAGGAATAGGACTAGATAAGGGGTACGGAACCTGCAGCCTTGAAGCCACATGTGGCCTTCTAGATCCTTAAATTCAGCCTTTTGACTGAATTTAAATTTCACAGAACAAAATTTGGATTCAGTCAAAAGGCTGCACTTAAGGATCTAGCAGGCCATATGTGGCCTCAAGGCCCAGGTCCCCCACTCCGGTACAGATGATCTCTAATGTCCCTTGTAGCTTGCTATGATACCATCACCCTACAATTCTATATGTGCATGACGCACTTCAGCACATACATCACACAAAGGGAGTGGGATTGCTTGGCTCCTCTTTTCCCTTAAGAATATGTAGAGTGTTAGGATGAGAAGACTAGGAGCATAAGACCATCCCAAAAGCTACTCTTAACTGCTTCTCATTCTCCTCCTGGATGAGGAGCAGGGGAGGAACATTTTAGAGGAAATGTAGGAATAGTGATGGTCCTTTGTTTTAGTTCTACTAAATGAAGTATAAAACTGAAAAAAAAATCCTTCCTTTCTTTTGAAATCTTTAAACTCTCTTATTTTTTAAATACAAATTGATTCTTGAATTTGAATCACTGGAATAAACTTTCTATAACTTCTATCAGTCCTATTGATTCTTGGTTTTCAGGAAAGGAATCTGTTTTTGAGATTCTTTTGCTGTTGCCATATGCACTTGTTATGAGGATGACCAATTGCCAGGAGTTTTTCCTTTGGACCTAGCAGGCCAACATAATGGTTCTGTGTTATCGCATGCATCACATGTAACCTGTGGCTCAGAGATTCAACATGGCCTTAATTCTGCCCGGGAAGAGATACAGTAGAACCTTCTTACAGCTATATTATGTGGAAACTGCATTGAATGGAGTACCTATATTCATGTCATGGATTAAACATAGAGATTACAGCCTCTTCTGTCCTATTCTTCACCCAGACATCCCTAATCCTACACAGAGAAGAAGCATCCACATTATCAATAATGCAAAATCCTGCCACAGCCTTGCTAGTTAGGGGATGGAGAGTGGGAAAGAGAAACAGAAGCTATATTATATCATGACTTTACTGTGAATAGTTTTCATAGATCCAGTATTTGACTTGTAGGCAAACTAATTCTGTGCAATAACCCAGGTTAGAACAGAATACTATGATATGTCTGGGAAGGGTAAGTGTGGGGTGGCAGCCATCAAGGAAATTACCTGGCACCTGTATTTGTAATATTGCTCGTTCAGTTTGGTGCGTGTCCTGCAGACTGGGATACTCTCTCTCTCTTCATCTCTACTTTTTGGCTTCATTTAGCTTAAGTCCCACTTTCTGCAATAGGTCCTTCCTGGCCCTCTCCCTGACTAGTACCTTCTCTCTGGGATTAGCTTCCATTTACTCTGTAAATATTCCATATATACATAGTTGCTTACGTGTTGCCTCCCCCATTAGAATGTGAACTCTTAGAGGGCAGGGACCACGTTTATGTCTTGTTAATGCTCATTACTTAACACATGGCCAGATATATAGTAAGCATTTGATAAAAGCTTGATGACTGGTAAGACTAAGCGTTAAATATTTTCTATAAAACGTATGTTATCTCAGCTATGTGATGTAGTAGATAAAGGGTTGAAATAAGAGTCAGAAGAGGTATAAAGTGAAATCTTAAATCAAATATTTACTCACTGTGGGACCTCCATGGGTTCAGTTTTTGAATTTACAAAATGGCAGAAAATCATATCAGTACCATCTAAAATGAGATCGTGTATTTAAAGTATTTTGTAAATCTTCGAGGCTAAATAAATGTCAGCTATCATTAGCAATGGGTTTTTTTGTTGGTTTAAATTCTAGGAGAAGGAATCCCAAGATCTTTGCTGATTGACCCATAAGTCTAGTGACATAAACTCCCAATATTAGAAGTATCTCCAACTGAGACCCATTCCCTGAAACAACTTGTCATAATTAGACTGTGCAGCCATCATATTTACAGATCCATTAAATTAAATGCAGTAATCCAATTAACCAAAAAGAAGGCCAACAGTGGTAGCATCCTAGTTACCACAGGCTATTGTAAATAAGCGTCTCCCGTGCTACGGAGAAATCTGCTCAACATGCACCAGCTGGCTCCTGCAAAGAATGAGAGTGGAAAAGGCCTCCTCGCTTTGCCAGCATGGACTCTGAGGGAGCCATTTCTCCTTAGGAAGATGAAATTTGTCTCTCTTGCTAAGTACCCACCAGCGTTTTGCTAATAGACTCCGGCTCTTCTACTCTGATGAGAAAAGAGGTGAAACTTTTCCAATATTTATCTCCTACAGGACATTTCACTCTAATACAAAAGTGAAGCAGCCTTATTCTTCTGGAAAAGGTTTGGAAATTCAGCTTACAATTAAACACATAGAAAGATAGTTTCTACTTACCTGAACCCTTTCTGGGTTTGACTAAGGGCAGTAAGAATTTGATGACTACAAGTAGCAGAAATAAAAGTTGCATGAACTTCTAAATTGTGTGAACCTGCTAAATATGATGAGGTCTCTTCCCCATTCCTTCCCTCTCAGGGGGAATCTTTATTTGCCCACAGGAGACATTTTAAAGAAATCAACAGCAGTGTGTTTGAAGGATGCAAGAGTGACCATCTGGAAAACTTCACACAGACATCCAAAATTTGTGCAAGCTAGGAAACTGGCACAGGAATAAGCCATTTCCTGATGGAATGCTTAGACAATCATGGATTGAAATGTCACCTGAGCTTCCATTCAACTCAAAAGAATTACTTTTAATATATTTCAGGTGATATTACTACCTGAAATTGGAATGTCAGATTTTTTCCTCTGAAGTATGCTCTTTTATTCCAAAATTTAACATTTTATATCTTTGCTACTCTTATGTTTTTTGGGGGGAATGGAGAAGGGTAGGATGGTGGAAGAACAGGAGCTATGATTTCATTAAATTAGAAAACTCTTCCTGCCACCTTAGCCTTTAGTCTTACAGAATTGTCTTAGCTACTAAGAGGTTAAGTGACTTGCCCAGTGTTACACAGCTATTTTGTATCACAGGCAAAACATAAATGGTGACTCTAAAGGCCACTCTTTATCTATATTATATTTAAATGTAGAACACAGTAAAGAATTAGTACATTTTGTCTGGAGGTGAGGTCTGATGGAAAGCTGTGAGAGTAGATGCTGAAAAATGATCTGAAATGATATTAAATCTTCCTCATCCTGTTTGGAAGCATTATAAGCTCCATCTCTCCTTCCCTAAGCACTTATCATCTTTAGAGAGTTAAGGAATTCAGGAAAAGAAGAGGCTGTAAGTGTGCAAGTTGAGGTGGTCTCATACGCCCTATGCAGTCACACCAGACATATGCTTGTCCATTCTCAACTAGGGGAAAATTCT